TATATATATATATATATATATATATATATAACTGAAAATTGCATGGCTAACTAACATACATTATTAACTTAATTATGAAGAAGTAATGATTAGATATAATTAATAAAGTTTCTAACAAATAAGTTTAGACACCAAACATTTGAACCACCCAACTACATTTTATATTATTTATATTGGACAGAAATGGTCGCTTATTGCATGCATTTAAAATTAGGTTTTTTTTTTTTTGGTTGCGTTGATTGACAATGCAGTTTATTTATTAGTTATCATCCCCCTCCAAACTCCATTTTAATTTATAGTCTCTCAGATAATCTTATCATTAGCATGTCATATTAATAATTAGTCTACCTACTACCATTTGTCATTATTTCATATTTGCATGTAAGAATAATTTTCTTAGTTGGAGGAAAAGATGCCTTATCCGTCTCATATATTGACTTGTTGTGCTAATCCTAGGCTATAAGAATGCATTCGTACAATATTGTAGACATTAATTATGGAAGATGATTTACGTGATGGCAAACAAAGGAGACAATAGGCATTGGAGATGTTATCAAGTAATCAATAGTGTTATGCTCCGCAATTCCCCTTGTGAGAGAGGGGACAATGACCAAAATGTGTAATTACATGGGAAATAACAGTGGCTATTAGTGTTGGTGTTGATGACATTGTTTGATATTATTGAAGATTGATGTCAATGACATATGTTTGCTTTGTTGACGATGATGGGCATTAACATTACCATAGTGATACATGTTAATGGCTAGTATTGACTTCAGTAGTAATTCATGAAAGTTGATATTAATATCGATGATGACTCTTGATGGTAATCTCTATGAGGGGGCATGCATAATGGTATTTGACATTAAATTTGATAAGAGACTAAAATTGGTGTGAATACAAAGTGTTTAAAAAAATTTTGACATTAGACATAATTTTTGTTAATAAAATTAGAAATTAAAGTTGATGTGACAAGCATTAATATTACTGTGGATGTGAGGTGTTGGCATTAGTGCCGAGAATGAACATTGAAGTTGATGTTAATGGCGGATGCTAACATTCACTAATGTGGTGCTAGCAACCACCATCGACTGTATTGTTAATGGAGGGTTTTAGAGTTGAAGTGAATAACAAATGTCAATATCATCGGGGTCAAATTAGATGATGATAGTTGTTGCATTTTAGAATGTTCCCAATGACAGAAAATTTAAGTTTTAGCTCAATAAAAATGTCCAACATGCAGACTTAAATAAAAGTGATAAGAGATAACACAATTTTGATGTGAAAAATCTAAGAAGTGAGAAAAATTACACGACATGACCAAGTTAAATTAAACTTGTTCACTATATAATAATGTTACAGAGTTCAACTCTTCATTCTAACTGGAGATGAAGAGATATGAGCACTTATTTACCATTCTATTATTATAATATGAGACATTTGAAGATAATGCCAACAAGAAGACAATGGACTATCAATAATAGTTTAGAGTTAGTAGAGTGGCAACAACAATTTCATGGCATTTATAAATGAGATAACAATATTTTGGAGATAACAATCATATAATTACAATCTAGGGATAAAACTCATATAATTCCATTCACTAGCTAGGTTAAACTATTGTATGATATAATAGTTAGGTTAGAACAATCATTGGAGATGATTGCCAATCACTGGCAATCGTTGAATTACATCTATCTTTGTGAATTCTCAGGTTAAATTATTATTCTTTCTTTTGAAGAATGTTGGTTAATTTATAGTTTTTAAGACACATATTTTTAAAAATTTTGCCAAAATCCTTAAACACTTCATTATATAGTCTTTATTGATTTATTTAATAATTGATTATTATTTTTGGCATTAAAGATCTTATTGATCTTGAAATTGAATAATTTTGATCTCATTAGATTTCTTTCATTGAGATGCTCAATTCAACCACAAGTTGATTAAATTTAGAGATTGTTTGCTATTTAATTAATGCTTTAAAACTTGCAGTTATAATTTAAGGACATGATTTATATTCATTTGGACTCGGAACAAACCGTTCTTGTTATAATTAGGTTTGTATTACCAAGATATCTAGATAAATATAAATTTACTAAAATAGAGGCTCAAATGACTTCAAATTTAACTCTCGAAGTTTCATTCAAAATACATTAAGATTTGTGCATGTCTACATGAATATTTGTTGATATATGTAACAAGAAAAAGAGATGAATTAAGTAAAAGATGAGTTAAGCCAAAGAACAAATCCTTTGGAGAGGCTCAAAGACAAATAAGTGAAAGTGGGAGGGATTGATCATAGTGCAATCCAGCTTGATCAGGAGAGTGTTGGTATGATGAGCAACATGTGAGGCAAATGCTTGTAAGTAGGGTTTTGTAAGTAGGGTGTAAACAAACCAAACACGAGTTGTTATTTGTTAACGAACAAATAGTCATTTTAACAACCCTAGTCACAGTCTGGACAAAATTTTAATTTCAATATTTATATTAAAACATCATTTAAATATAATTTAACTTAATTTTATTCTATTTTTTTAATTAATAATTTTAATTGATTATAAATCTTGATAAGTTTGTAGTCAATTAATTTTTTTTTAAATACTACTCATCAATTACACACACACACACAGGTGTGTGTAAATAATCGGGTGCAAAAAAATTATTTGTGTTTAGCTAGCTAACTTAGAGAACGAATCGAATACAAGCTTATTAACGAGCCGAACACAAGTTCTTATTAAAGTTAGGGCGTTTTAATTTAAGTATTACAATTTATACATAATTTTATATCAGAAGAATAAATATAATTTAATAAATTTTTGTTGAAGGAATGTAAAGATTAAAAATATATGAGAAATATTAATCTAAAAATTTCTATTAGTATTGATATGTCATTGGTGATTTTTTTATTAGCATGAATCAACCTCGATGTATTTTGATCAAGAAGTATTATAAATTCAAATTCAAGATCATTTGTGCACCGATTTAGACAGTTATATAATCAAGCTAAGCATGTCATTAAGACGAACTCAATGATACTGAAAGGAGTCCAATCTGAGTCCAAAATGTTATCAAAGCTTTTTGTGCATCACTTTAGAGACTAAATTATCTCAAAATTTGGCAAACTTATAGTTAAATTGATAGTCTTACTGAGAGGAATCTAGCGAGCCCACGATTATTCAATTATGAGGTCATTACATCATTCAAATTTAAAAAAAATTACTTATACTAAAGATAATCAATGTGAATCATTTGATTGATTGACTAAATTTATCAAAATGCGCCTCACAAAAAATATAATTAGATACCTATTCTTTAATTAAAGGGCAAATGAGAAAAACAAGTTGGTGAGCTAACTAATAATAAAGTATAGCACTTGAAATCCAGATAGTTGTCATCGACCATCAATTGTTATCGTCATAAATCAAAAGTCACCGCCGACCACCACCATCAATTATTGCAGCGAACTACAAACATTATAAGCATCAAATATGACTGGTTTAACCAAACTTCAATTATAAAAATGTGATAATCAGCTTTTTGTGACACCATATTTTTAATTCAAGAGAAGAGCAAATCTCTGCACTTTCAATTTTCTAGTGAATCATTTTGACGGGGCTAGTCTCTTGATTTTTTTTCTTCCCATGATTTTTCACCTAAGAAATCTGATTGTTTCTTATATTTCTATGTGTGCGCGCTTAAAAAATATATTAATGTATACTTTTTGGCCATCGTTTAGTATTTTCTAGCATGCAAAAGTATATGTATAAAACTTATACTGATCGATTTTATATGAAAATATACTTTTATTAAAATAATAAGAATAATAATAATAATGTAATAATTAGGATTGTATTATTAATGTTAATCTCCATGTTATGTATAAGTTGTTTGAAGATTTAAATACACACCACTTAATTCCTATAATGGTGATATTTTTTATATGATATAAAAACTTTGGGTGATATAGATATAAAAAAGTAAAATTTAGGTTTTACATATGTAAATACATAGAAATTGGTGGATAGGTGGTATCCACGTGAATGCCCCAAAGTTATTTAATTACAAATTTAATTTCTTAAATAATAGAATATCATATATAT